TCGATCCCACTCTAAAATTTACTGTTAGACACATTTATGTAAACAAAGTCCTTCATTGGCTTTTTCTTCCTGCATTTTACAAAGTCATAAGTTTACTCCTCTAATGTTTTTATTTTCAATTTTATTTCCGATCCCGACCTGTGTTAACATTTCGTCAATTCAAGCATTTGAAGGGCAGATCTGTTGTCTATTCTTTCAAGGGCACCATACTAGATGGTCCAACGTTGCTCCCACAGTCAGGACAGATAGTTCAGGGAAGGAAAGTGCATCATGATGCCTTGCCCGGGATTCAAACCCAGAACCTTTCAGACGCAAGGCCAGTTCTCTGATCCCTACACAGTCTGGTCTGCTCTCCCTGTAGTTTTTGAAATTGCAAAATGCATACACATGGAAGATGAACATACTATAAAAAAATATAGTTGCTTATACATTGGAGTTGAATATTTGAAATTTCTACAGTTACTGAAAGAAAAATAAGTTTAAAAAAAACAAACAGTTTCTGCCTTCTAACACGCTTAAATTTGAGCACCTTAGAGTTTGCGTTTCTTTTCGACCCTACTCTAGCCCTTACTGTTACCCACATTTATGTAAACATTGGCATTTCTTTCTGCATTTTCACTCGATTGCCACACAGTTCTTAAGATGGAAAAATTATATCCTTTTAACGTTTAAAAATTACTGAAATTGGTGGGAGTACTTTCTACTGTCTTATAAAGGGGGAATTAAATAAAACGTGAAATATAAATCCTTTTTCTTAACTAATTTTATAGGTAGCTTTAGCAGTTAAATTTCTAAACTCCATTTAGCATCACTTTACTGAAAAATGTATTCCCTAAAAATATTATTCTTATTGTATATCGTAATTTCTTCTCGACCCAACTTTATTATTTACTGTTACTCACATTTATGTAAACAAAGCCTTTCATTGGCATTTCATTCTGCATTTTCGAAGGTAAGCAGTCAATGGCCACAAAAATCTTGGGTAGAAAAATTCTTTTCCGTACACATTTAAAAATTAATGAAGTTGGTAGGCATATTTCCCACGTTCTTAACAAAGCCAAACAATGTAAATAATGTCCTTTACAGGCATTTGTTTCTGCATTTTCTAAAGTTATCAGTTTACCCTGTAACGTTTTCCCTTATAATGGTGTTTTTACAATTACGAAATGCATGCACGTTGAGGAATATTTGAAATTTCCAGAACTACTGAATTTATAATAAGTTAACAAGGCAGTTTCTGTCTTCTAACACGCCTAATTTCAACGAAAAAAATAATAAGTTCTTATTTTACGATCAATAATTTGTATATCTGGATTTAGGAAAATTCCGATTTAAAATTTTTGTTGATTCCATAGCTACAAATTCTTCTTTAAAAGGGCAAATGCGATAAGATAGTATTTTTCATTTTTTTTCTTCTGCCAAATGTTTCTAAATTACGATACTATAAGTTGAAAATACTTACGAGAGTTTATTAGTCAGGTTTATAGATAAAGAGAAGTTAGCCTTAGTAAATATAGTTTATTTTATCATATTTTTCGATTTTGAATCTAATTAAAGCGAAGATAAAGAAATATAAACTATATTTCCCAAAGCAGATGAATATTCCATTTCATATTTAAAAATACTAAAATGCATTCTGCTATTTTATATCGAAGGAGGCAATTTTATTTGGAAGAACAAATATTTGAAAAGAACAACGAATGGAAGTAAAAGCAATCAATTTGATAACTTCTATTCTGAAATGCTCGCAAAGTTTATTTAATAATGAAAAAATTGAGAAGAAATATTTTTGCCGATTGCAGCATTTCATTTTTAGTACTTCCTAAATCAGATACATTGTAGGAAAATAACATTTATGGAAACTAGGATATTTGTAACGAATAAGGGATTGTAAACAATTTGAAATCCTTTTTTATTTTCTTTCCATGTTCAAGGTTTAAATTCGTACATTTAAATATTTCAGACCTGAAAAAGTTCATATTAAATATTATCTAATGAGTTATAAATGATGTATCTTATTTAATGAATGGTTAATCTAACTTAATAAATGTTACATCTAATCACTAATTGATATATCCGATTCAATAAATAAAATTAATTTAATTAACATAGATTTAAGTATAATTTTTTTACTGTTTGTCAGTCATATTTTCTTTTCATTCGTATATGAAATAATATAAAATTTCTCGCAGTTGACGATTTTAATCCGTCATTTTCGTTTCAAATTGAAGTGATTTCTACTTCTTTGCAATGTTCATGAAAGTTATGTCACAATAAGTACAAGAACTGCTTTTCTATCCAACAAAAATCCACTAACTGCGTATAAAAACCGACAACGTTACTTAACTTTGTAAGTGAAACTAAGTCCATTTTGTGTAATTTATTTGTGATAAATGCTAGAAAATATACAGTTAATCTGCATTTGAATCATGAACTGGATAATAAATAGCTTTTGCATCGAATCACCAAAATAGAAATTAAAAATGTCCGAAGTAAGAATTGCTCTTGAAATTGAGAACTACTGGAACAAGCGATTTGTACCCAATTTTTCTCTGAAGGAAGATATAATATATGACAGCAACTATTCTCACGGAAAAAACAAAATGTAAATAAATCTTACAATATAGATTCTTGTCTGCTTTAAAACCGTTATACCACGTGTATAATATAATAATTCATTTACTAATTATCAGAAAGGTAAACATCACATTATTTAAATTTTTTCGCAAAATAATAATAAAAATCTTAAATAGTTATGTGATAAATGTCAAACGTGTTGCATTTCTAATAAAAGTTATAAAATTTTTTAGTAACTTAATAAAATAAAAAATTTGTGGGGGGAGGGGGATCCAATGTTCCCCATGCGTTTTATCGTTCTTCCAGGTAGCACAAGTCCTCCCGGTTTAAGATAAGAGTTTTTTATTGAATGAATTTTGCTAAAGACTTTTTTATTTGTTGGTTTCTTACTGGCATACCATCTGACAGTTTTTTTCTCCTTAAATTTACGAGATTTTCTAACAGTGCGGAAATTTTAAATGACACCAATAATTGCATTTTGAGTCGTAGTGGCTTAGGGGATACAGCAATTGCCTCTCAATGACGTGACGCGAGTTTAAATCCCATCGATGGCTGGTCGATATGAATTCCGCACCCGGCACGCACCGACCACAGTGGTGATGTAAAATATCTTCGGTGTTAGACGATTCATGGAGTCCCTTTGTGTCAGATTAACCATCAGAGGTTTTCGAGGTCTTCCGCTCCAAGTAACGCTGATGCGTGTTAGTTCCAACCAAAAGTCCTCAACGAAGACTAATTTCTCCAAATATTTGATCCAGGAGATCCCTTGTATTTGGAATTAGGTTCAAAATTACAAGGCTACGGAGTTTGAACATTAGTAGTTGTAAACTCGAAAATTGGGTCGGCTCCTTACAATTATTTTGTTGGTGTTGTTTCTCATCCCCCTAGTGTAGGAAAGCCTATACTAGGCCCAAAAGGCCCCCTCGCCTGAGAACATCGAAATTCTTCTCTTGCTTGACCAACTGCTACCTCCAAGCGGAGCCTAAACAATTGAGAAGGTGAGCAAGACTAGCCAGAAGGAGACATGATCAAAGATTAAAAATTCTTTTCCCCATTCTAAAATTTTATGTGTTTCTGGTGTCCACTTCTGAATCTTGTCAAAGCGGATTGAAAATCCCTGGGGCCGCTGCAGAACATAGACAAGCCGGATCATTTGCAACGTATTTTTACGATTATAAATTTTTAAAAAATAAATGCTTTTAACTCAAGTATCTATTACTACGAATCTAATGCATGCGTTGTTACTTATGCACGCTGAATTTTTTATGGTGGATTTGAACATCTTGGTCAAACTCGTGACCTCAAATTATACGCTCAAATTCGCTCAATGTGCTCAAATTCTATTTTTTCATGTAATTCTTTTGTCATTGCGAAAAAAACAGATCTGATTTGAGTGGAATATTTTATAGTACTTAAATAGAGGGAAATATTTTGTTGAGTTATGATTATGAACAATTGAATAGTAAAAAACTAAAGAGCAAATATTTGGATACATTTGCTTTCTTTGTGTCGTTCTCGTGCTACAGACCTAAACTAATATCGTGTGCCAAGTATAATGTGTCAAATATCATGTGCATGTGTCAAAATAATTTTGTTAAATTTTTGTATGCAGTCAGGATACAAGATCTCATAGCAGTTTACTTTGTGAAATCAGCATACAAAGTACGAAAAAATTTAAATTTCTAAGAAAATTTTTTTTTTAATTCTTCGCCTAGTTTTTTCATTTTGATTGCTTTTTATACCCTTATCGAGTTGTATTTGATAATCAAATCAATAATGCATATCGTTAATTTTCTTTGTTTAATTGATATTTTGACTTCGACTTTGAAAACTCTATGCGTGTTTTGCTCTCGACAATTAAATTTACTTCGTTTCTTCTAATCAAAATTAATTAAAAATTTAGTTATTTTAATGCATTCTTTAATTTCTTGGTTAATTTCATTTCATAATCGATGTTTTTTACTTAATAGTCATGATAGCTTTTTCGTGATTTTAAGCTATTTGTCGTGTTTTTTATCCACATTTATTTTATTTCTGAACAACAATTAGACACAAAACAAATAAATGTTCGAAACAAATAATGTGTTTATTTTTATTCTTTTTATAATGAGGAATATTTTATTGAATAACATTCTACATCTGAAAACAAATTCACTTTTCATTATTACACAATTTATACTTATAAGCATGTTTTACAAAATTTGAAAATGCAAATAGTTAGAATAAATAGTAAATAACGAGGTGGATTTTTTAAATAAATACTTTTAGTTTAAAATAACTTTATAAAATAACATCTTGTAATAACGTTCTGGTTATTTTATTTATTTTTGTCTTCCAGTGATGCAAATTTTTAATTAAAACTATGTTTCAGATAAGAGTATCTATATATTAAAATAAGCCTATAAATGTGAATTTTTTTCTAGAAGGGTGCCCAGATAATTGTGGAGGAGTGTCAAAGGGTCAATGTGTCCAGGAAGAAGGTCAGTGGAGCTGCCGATGTGAAGATGGATGGGGAGGCAGTGACTGTAAGACGAGACAAGAAACAAGCTGCATTGATGATAAAGATAACGACCAAGGTATATGTTAATCTTAATTTTTAAATGTTTTAAGCATGAAGTTTAATTTTCAATGGTCAACTTTTGCATTAACTTCAAATTCAGCTATTCGAATATGACAGAAGTTAATATAGATATTTAGACTATTAGAATAGTTAATGTAAAATTTTACAAGCAAATTTCAAAAATCTGAAGAAAAAAATTCTAAATGTTCATAGAATAGTATTAATTATATTATTTAAATTCATAAAAAAAATCATAATTAAATTGTTTAAATTTGCAAATTGAAATTAATCTGATAATAAAATGATTTGTTTAAGCTAAAATATCTTTTTATCCCAAAGATTTATTTACACAAAAGTAAATAGTAAACTAGTATTAGCAAAACCTTGAGAAACGAAAGTGTTTTCTTAATGAGAAGTTGAATTTTTATGTATCTGGCATTTTTGAAATTCAATTTCTCAAGAACTGCTAGACAAATTTTGCTCAAATTTTGTATTTTGGTACATAAAATTACATTCTTTAAAATGATGTAAAAAAATTTTTATATTAATAATATTAAAAAAAAATTCCGACTATTATTTTTTAAAACAATAAAAAATAATAAATATTTACAAATATTTATTTTTTGCATGGAATTGTCTTTAAATAAGCGAATTGTATAATAGTGTGTAAAAACTTTTGAATTCACTTTAAAAGTTTCTCGAGATATGGTAAAATACGTAAAAAGTAAAATTAACATTAAGGCGTCCAAACTTTGGATCACTCTCCTGACCAAATTATTGGGACCATATTCCGCAGATAGTGGAAAAGGGTATGTTTACTCAGAGGAAGTACGTTTTTGTGTCTGATTTCGTAATTTAAAATATCATCTGTTCTAGTTAGGTCACCTCCTCGAACCATTCCGATGGAATCATAGAAAGTGAAGATCCGGTCATTAGATCAAAAGTTATTTATTGTTGTCCGTTTTTTTTTCATTCTTTTTTTTGCGCACTGTACATCATTACCTATGGTGGGTACAACACACGTCACCCAACCATGACCAAGCCTCTAGGCCCAATTTCAGGGTTCTACATGATAGGAATGCAATGTAATTCCCGGATCAGATGACGCGGACAGCGCGAGAACTAATACTCCTCTCTTCAAAAGTTCTACACCACAACCAAAGAGAAGAATTTCCGCCACGACAGATTTAGCGTGCGCCTTGATGCTTAGAACACGCCTGTTGTTTTGTCGGGTGTCAGAATCGAACTCAGTGTTCACTACTCTCCAACTTTAGCCTTCACTAAAGAACGTCTTTCTCAAACATTTTCTTAAACACAGCAAACGTGTAACTTTCTCACTCATCAAACGATGGCAACACTACATTACTTGCCTTCGTTTCACGAATGCCTTCATTCGACAAACATTTCCCTTGAGTCTCAAACCATTTGAACAAGAGATACATTTTCCGAACATGTTGCTGATTTACGATTCATATTTTTTTACAAAAAAAGAAGGAAAAAATTTACTAGCAAATCTGTTATTTTATGGTCATGGTAGCTTTACCGGGGGTTAATTATAGGGACGCTTTTTTCTCATCACAGACCGTAATCAAGAGGTGAAATTATTTACAATGCTTTGAAAATTATTCTAGATAAAATTTCAGTCTTTTATGTTTGAGCGACATTAAAAAACTTATATGCCAAGGAGAATATCAAGGATATAAAAGCTTAGACTAACTTCAACGGTTAGACCGATAGAATCGTGAATTGTAATTCGTGCTGTATACTCCACTTTGAGCAGCTCATAAAACTTTTATCTGTGTGTGGTGTGAAGATGGCCAACTAATAAATTGAAATCCTGATGTCTGAAGCGCTATGCATTCTTCGTTTTGTAAATTGGCTATTTGGTCACCCTCTTCTACTTCACATAGTTACATCAATGGTGTTAATTATATTTTGGATGTGCACTTTAAAAAATTCCGGAATAAATTATTGTATAAATTATCGACACTCTGTTTGCATCATCCGTAAAATTCCTCGTTAACGTAAAATATTACACCTTGATTCTTACAGTATATTTATTTAATTAGTGTGATTCAGTGATTTTACTGTACTTAAAAATTAAGAAATATCAGAGTATTTGTTCCATAACATATCCATGGGTAATGTTGCTCGCCTCCATTACTTAGGTTTACAGGTGCCCACTGGGTAACGTTAAATGAGCAACACTTCCGATTTGAAGAAAAAAAACTCAGTGTCTGCAAAAAAAAAAAAAAAAAAAAAAAAAAAAAAAAAAAAAAAAAAAAAACGAAACATTCCGGCAGAAATGGTTTTTACTCACTCCAAAAAGTTAACCGTAATTTGAGATTTGCCGTAATTCTTTTGTATAACTACTTGCATTAGTATTGTTTTTAACATTATTTGAAAATAACATTCAAATTTATTTCCAGCGACTAAAGCCTACAGCTAATAAATGTTGCTAAGATACCACCAAACAACAAAGCCAAAACTAATTAAATCTATTAATAAATATATTTATATCTTATTTCATAAAACAAACAGAAGCAGTTCATGAAATCAACCAATTTGTAATACTTGTTAACATAAATAAATTTAAGCCTGAATAGTTTTAACAAACAATTTCCAAAACGTTTTCTTCGTTCAAATTAAAATTACCACTATTCTTCCTTTTGATAACACCATCATTATGTTTCTAAATATTAATTCAACTTGAATATTTATGTCTAGCTAACACAGCTTCCCGAGAAATTGTTATATTTCTATTGAATTAGTTCAATCAAAGGAAATAACAAACCAGAAGAGTTTTATGCAATCACGTTCAAACGAAACATTACCAACAAGTGCATATTTAATGAAAATTAAACTTCCCAATCCATCTTTCTTCGCATTAGAAATCCGTCATTCCAATTCAGTAAGCTTAAAATTAAATTACATGGAAACGTCGATAACTTCACTTGAATGAAAGCAATTAGAGTAAGCTTTTCTCTTCACTACATACAATTGTTGAAGTGGAAAATATTTATTACCCAATGCAATGTTTAAATATGCTTATCAGTTTGTTCCAATTTTTTTTTCTTCCCAAAATCCTAAAATCTACCATCTTTTTTTCCACCATTTTTTTCATCGAAGCAAAAATATTTCTTTAATTATTTTTTTTCCTTTTTGTAACTCTTAACAAATATTTTTTTCTCGTTTTGCTTGGAAAAAAAGAAACTAAGAAATCTAAATTAAAGTTATCTAAATTGAAAACATTGTTTTTCTTGATAATGAAACTATTATTCTAAGAGATAAGTTTATTTAGTTGAAGCCACAAAATTTCCGAATTATTATTTTTTTTGCAATAAAAATAAACAGGTACACTGTAAAAAAATTCCGGAGTAATTTGCGCTTTAAAATACCTGTTAATAGTACCGTTTAAAGTACCTGTGAGTACATCGGGCTTAAAATCCATTTTATCGTAAAAAAGTTTTTTACTGTAAAATATTGCACCGTAATTTTTAAAACAATACTTATTTAATTACAATAATCCAGTGAACTTGAGGTTAATATTCTTGTAAAAATTACGGTGCAATAGATTTTTTGGTACTTCTTGGTACCTTCTTCTAACAAGCTCTTCAATTGTAGGCTTAGGCTTGAATGAAAGCAATTAGAGTAAGCTTTTCTCTTCACTACATACAATAGAAGTGGAAAAATATTTATTACCCAATGCAATGTTTAAATATGCTTATCAGGCTGTTCCAATTTATTTTTTTTTCTTTCCCAAAATCCTAAAATCAACTATATTTTTTTCCACCATTTTTTCTTTTATCCTAGCTAAAATATTTCTTTAATTATTTTTTTTTTCTTTTTGTAACTCTTAAAATGTTTTTTCTTGTTTTGCTTGGAAAAAATTAAACTAAGAAATATAAATTAAAGTTATCTAAATTGAAAACATTGTTTTTCTTGATAATGAAACTACTATTCTAAGAGATAAGTTTATTTAGTTAAAACCACAAAATTTCCGAATAATTTTTTTTTTGCAATAAAAATGCACAGATACACTGTAAGAAAATTCTAAAACAATTTGCTGTTTAAAGTACCTGTTAATAGTATGGTTTAAAGAACCTGTGAGTACACCATCCATGAAATCTATTTTATCGTAAAATTGATTTTTTTTCCGTAAAATATTGTACAGTAATTCTTACAACAATACTTATTTAATTAAAATGATTCAGTGAGTTTACGTTAAATATTCCTGTAAAAATTACGGTACAGTAGATTTTTTTTTGTATTTCTTGGTACCTTCTTCTAACAAGCTCTTCAATTGTAGGCTTAGACAAGGTTACTAAATAATCGATGTAAGTAATTTATGAAGCAGAAGCCATTAACAATTTTTATGTAACTGAATATAATATTTTTGACTAGTACTATATTTCTATAGTTCGTATATTTACAACAATTACTTTATTTCAACATTATATTTACAACAATTAGAATGATTCAGTGAGTTTACGGCAATTCTTCCAGTAAAAATTACGGTACAATAGATTTTTTTGTACTTCTTGGTACCTTCTTCTAGCAAACTGTTAAATTGTAGGCTTAGACAAAGCTACGAAAAAATCGATGTAAGTAATTTATGAAACAGAAGCCATTAGCAATTTTTATGTAACTGATAATAATATTTTTGACTAGTACTATATTTCTATAGTTCGTATATTTACAACAATTACTTTATTTTATTTTTTTTTCTTAGTTTTTTTGTATTTTAATATTGTATTAATTCTGTATAGCAATTTTTGCATAATCACGAAATCACGTGATTAAAAATGCAAAGAGTAAACGTTGTGTGTCTCTGGAGGGATTCAGTTCAGATATTTTCTCTCGGTGATGATGGAGTGTTTCAAAAATAGTTTTGAAATGTGATAAATTAAATGGTTGAATATATGATCAAATCTTTTGTTTCTTTTTCTCAATAAAGAGAATAATCAATAAATGCTTTTATTTCTAAAATAAAGTAATCGTGTTTGCAATAATTAC